GTTACCCTGATAACAACCAAAAAATAAAAGGCAGATTTTGCATAATAAATAGACAAAAATGAAACAAGTTTTCTTCTCCTCATTTATTAGTTCAAAATTTATTAGGAAAATAGAAACAAATTTAGGATAAAATTATGAAAATGAATCTATACCAAAATCATCTCAATGTGAAGAAGAACATCAGCTCATAAGGTGAATTTCATATTCTTCCAGATATCAAGTGGCATCAGATACATATATCAGGCCTTTAGCAAATCATATCAGAAGTCTGTAGTGTTGTGTACAATGAGCATCATCTGAGGGTGAGGCAGAGAACTTTTGGGGTCCAGAACTGGTGAATTGGAGGGTGGGAGTCTTCTACCACATCCTCAATAGTAGTAGCCAAAGCCAGAGCCATAGCCAGATCCGCATCCGTAGCCACTTCCACAGAGAGAGCGGGCGCCATAGCCGTAGCCACTTCCACAGAGGGAGCGGGCGCCATAGCCGTAGCCACAGCCGTAGCCACAGCCCAGCCTGCGGAAGCCAGAGCCATAGCAGGAGCCATAGCCACAGCCCAGGCCTCCATAGCCATAGCTTCCACAGCCGAGCCCACCATAGTAGTTTCCGTAGTAGCCACACATGGTGTTGGTTGTTGAGGTTGTTCTCGGGTGGAGAAGGAGAGTAGAAGTGTCACTTGAGTGTGGAGAGTTCTCCCTGCAGAGGACATTTTATACGCCCTCATTGTGGGTGTGATCCACCACTAACACTCATGCTATTGGCTAATTTTTCAGGACCAATATGAGTAATCTGTTGACTACAAGTTTTAGGGATGACTTCACAAGCATTGAGCAGATATGTTTTGTTTCACCACATCTGAGCCAGTTAGTGGGTCATTAACAGAATCAATTGTCTCATCCTCAAATCCTTACCCATGACATATTTAAATTGCCCTTTGTAACTAATCTTTATGGCAGTAAATACCATTTTTATTGACAAACTCTGACCTTCTCCAGAAAAACAATAATTTTGCCTTACTTTATATTGACATTCAACAGATCATAGTATTGAACCTTAACCTTGAACTTCTCCTTCTATTAATATTACTTCCTCCCCCAATCCATTGTTTTCCTTTAAGGATTTATCTCATTTTCATGTGAGAGATTGCTTACTGCTAAAAGCCAAATGTTATCACTGAGCTACATGAGACTGTTGACTGACAGCAAATAGTTTGAAATTATGGAACACTAGGCCTGAAAAAGACTGGACTTTTCTTTATCTTTTACGTTAGTATTTTGTACATTTTTAAAATTCTGTGTTTAAATTATAAAATATTTTTTCCATGGTTTCAAGTTTATACCCTGAATTTACACTCAAAAATAAAAGGAAATTATGAGTGCTCCTTTGCCTTTTCTGGGGAAAATATCTAGACCAGAAAAGAATATTTTATATCTATATAAAAAGAGGAAAAAAGTTTAGTAATAAGAGCTGCCACTTGAGTAAGTTACTTTATATCCTTCCTTTTTGAATGTTGTTTTACCACATCTTACAGTGGTTCTGAGAATAATGTGAGATAATGCACATAAGGTATTTTGCACAGTGATTGCTCTATAGTAAATAGCTAACAACTTTAGTTAATATTACTTTATTAACACAATAATTAAAAGTTATTCAAAGTTTGGATGTAGAATTCTATGAATAACAGCAGATAAGATAAAGAGAATATTCTTAGATAAAATCAAAGACAGAGGAAAAAAAAGACAAAATAAACAGTGCATACAATTGTAAATGATAACACATACAAAGCATTTATTAAATTCCAAGCATTATCTAAGTGCTTTACATATTTTAACACACTTAGCTCTCACAAAAATCCTAGAATAGTTTGCAATTTTTATGTAAGAATGCCAAGCTCAAAGAAGTTGCAGCATTTGCACAATGTCATAGGCACAACCTAAATCTTAGTGCAACGTAATTATATGTACTTTCTAACTGATGAGACAGTCTGGGAATTGCTATCCCTTTTATAATAATAGTGGATTATTTATAATAGAAATCCATGAATTTAAACCCATGTAAATGAACAATCGAGTAAAAAGAAAAACTGTTTTCAGTAGACTACCTGTTAATGTATTTGAAAAAAATACAATGAAAATCAGAAAAGTCAACAATTGCAATCCATCATAATAAATAATTAGGCAAGAAAGGAAAATAAATGATAAGATGTGGTAAACTGTGGCATATGAATGGAATATTTATACAGTCACAAAACATCTCTACCAAAATACTTCTTAATTGCAAAAAAAAATAATAAAAGTAACTTTTGAGCAGAAGAATCTAATATTTACAACTGACCAAGTTGCAAAGTTATCATAAGTAATGAAGCAAATCAATAAGTGCCTAAAAATAGATATAATAAAAAGCAAACCTATTCACTATTTTGACAAAATTCATAATCTTGTTCTAATCACTTGGAAACTTTAAAGCTAAACTGAAGCATGCTTTAAAAGAAAAAAAAATTCCTATAATCTACAAAAAATTTATGATTATGGGAAATACTTGACAGCATGACAACTGAATACACTACATGACCTTAAGTAGATTATTTTTCTGTAAAAGCTTTATTGGAGCAATCTTTTCTTGAGTGAATGTTGTGAAAAGAAAAAGAAAAAAGATTTCGATAGAGGATAAAGTTGAGTTGACATAGCACTCAGTGGAAACCTCAGGAAACCATCTGTGGGACTGTGGATGGGGATGTCCGAACAGTTACTGGAATTGAACAAGGCATGTTATACCACCACTCTGATCAATCACTGGGGATTAGAAGTAGGCATGATCTCTTATGAGGGTTTCTAGTTAGCTGAGGGCATTCTACATTATACACACTCTATATACTTGATTGAACTATAAGCTTAATTTTTGACATGTGTAATGATCTTAATTTTAGTCTTGGAAATATTGGTTTAAGAAATATATGATTATTATAATTGATACAATCATCGAAAAACTAATGGTGACATAGTCTCAGTTCAGTTCAGTTCATTCGCTCAGTCGTGTCTGACTCTTCACGACCCCATGGACCACAAGACGCCAGACCCCCTGTCCATCACAACTCCCGGAGTTTACTCAAATTCATCTCCCTTGAGTCAGTGATGATCATCAGTGAATGATTGTCTCAGAATGTTAAAAAATGTATTCGTGTATTAACAACATGAAATCTTGAAAGCCTGTGGAAATGCTCTAGATCTTATGAAATGTTAGATTACAGTAGACAATAAATTGCAAAGTATGATGATTTGTACAAATTGGATTCTGTATCAAAAATAAAGCTACAAAAACTGGAAAAATTAAACCTAGATTATGAATTATATGGGCTTCCCACGTGGTGCTAATGGTAAAGAACCCATCTGCCAATGAAGAAGTTTGCAGAGACTCGGGTTTGATCCCTGGGTTGGGAAGATTAAGAATTAGATAATAGAATTGTATCATAACTATATTTCTTTTTGTGATAATGGAATTTTGGTTATGTGGGGAGCCATATCTTACCGTTGGAGAAGGAAATGGCAACCCACTCCAGTTTTCTTGCCTGGCAAATCCCATGGACAGATGAGCCTGGCGGTTGCAGTCTGTGGGTTGCAAAGAGTCGGTCACAACTGCAGAGACTTAGCACATATCTTATTATATTCATTTAAGAATGAAGTGTCATGAAGTTTGCAGTATATTTTCATATGTTTCAGGAATAATGTTTGGGTGTTTGAGTATATGAATATGTGTGTGTGTGTGTGTGTGTGTGTGTGTGTGTGTGTAGGAAGAGAGACACAGAGAAAGAGAGAGATAGAGGAAGAAAGAAAGACAGAGGAAACAAAACTTGCAAAATATTAAAAACTGCCAAATCAATCTAGGTGGACAGTTTTAGGTACTCATAATATTACTTCCTATAATTAATTGAGGAATTTAAAAATTTTTAAATTAACTTCTGGGAGAAATGAATTTAAATCTAGGAAAATATTATTCTTGGAGTACTAAAATCTGCAGTGATTCATTTTTCAATGCCTAAATTTCCTGCCTGAAAGTGTGAACCTGAGCATAGAGGGTAAAAAATGTGGATAAGAATTTTAAATAACAGAATGCAAAAAGTGTGCAAACTTTGGGTAACAAAGAGGGGATAAGTAAAATACATTAATATGTGTCAGATAAAAAGAGTATCAGATACTATTAAATGGCTCTAAACTGAAATACACAGTGGATGTTAGAAAAGGTGTCACTTAAAAAAAACCGAAAAACTATAGTTCAAGGCATTTAAAAGTTTGGTGAAGGCAGGGTAGGTTAAAATTTCTTTCCTTCTTGTGCTGGGGTAGCACAGGAAACACTTTTTGTTTAAATATACCTAAAACTGAAATTAGAATTTGATAACTATATATCAGATTGTATTTTCTAAAGGACTCCACGTAGATGAAGAATTTGGAATAATTTGTTTGGAATACACATTGTATCCAGGCAACGCTTACCTACATTGGCAGATGTAAATTTCTTTAATCCTCATGATGGACCAGCAAGCACAGATCACTGCTTTACCAGAGCAGGACACTGAAGGCTTTAAGACCTCTACTTTCTTATGTTACAAGTGAAGAATTTGGTAGAGAAACTAAAGTAGAAATACTAAAAGAAGCTATTCTCTAAAGAAGATTCTTTTCTTTAGTTCAAAAAAGGAAAAAAGAAAACCAAGGACATATTCTTTTGTTGTTGTTTAGTTGCTAAGTTGTGTCTGACTCTTTTTGTGATTCTCTGAACTGTAGCCCACCAAGCTCCGTGGGATTTCCAATGCAAGAATACTGGAGTGGGTTGCCATTTCTCTCACCAGGGGATCCTCCTGATCCAAGGATCAAACCTGTGTCTCCTGTATTGGCAGGTGAGTTTTTAACCAGTGAGTCACCCAGGGAAGCCCCAAATGACAAATAATGCATTTAAAATGAAAAAAAAAAGAAAAGAAAGAAACAGGTTTATGATTCTATATTGAACAGGTTTATTAGGAAAATAGAGAAAAGCCTTCTGCATGAAGGTCAAAAGAGTTTCTGTGATGGCATCATTCTAATGAGAGATCATGACTAGAGTTCTCAAATGAATTTCACATTCTTCCACTCTTTAGACATTAAATTCAGAAAGGGAAGGGTTGGTGTATCAGATGCAGAGGGCACCAGAAGGCAAGGCTTTAGCAGGATGAAGAATGTATGGGGTTCATTCAGAATTGGTGAATCCTGATGTCCACGTGTAGAGGATGAGAGTCTTCCGTGGCATCCTCAATAGTAGTAGCCAAAACCAGAGCCATAGCCAGAGCCGCATCCATAGCCACAGCCAGAGAGAGAGCGGGCGCCATAGCCGTAGCCACTTCCACAGAGAGAGCGGGCGCCATAGCCGTAGCCACTTCCACAGAGAGAGCGGGCGCCATAGCCGTAGCCACAGCCATAGCCACAGCCCAGCCTGCGGAAGCCAGAGCCATAGCAGGAGCCATAGCCACAGCCCAGGCCTCCGTAGCCGTAGCTGCCACAGCCCAGGCCGCCATAGTAGTTTCCGTAGTAGCCACACATGGTGTTGGTTGTTGAGGTTGTTCTCGGGTGGAGAAGGAGAGTAGAAGTGTCACTTGAGTGTGGAGAGTTCTCCCTGCAGAGGGCCTTTTATACGCCCTCAGTGTGGGTGTGACCCACCACGCCTTCATGCCATTGGCTAACTTTATGACCACTCTAATTAGTTTGTTGCTCACAACCATAGCATGAAACAACAGGGAAATTCAGCAGGATTGCTGTGTTGACATCCCAGTTTGGATTCCTCTTATTTAATTAAGCGTTTGGATGAGAGGAGACACAACTCACACCTACAGTCCTGCCCCAAAATATCACATGTGTTCATTTTAAGTTTCTAGAACCTTCCTTTATACCAAGAAATAAGGCTTTGCTAGGACTTTTCAAATAATTTTATTATTTTATAACCTTTCACAAAGAGTAATATTTCTATCATTTTGTATATTTTTCTTCTTTCTTCATCAAAATTATTTTCTTCAGATATTTAGTGTCTTTATATCTTTAAGCAGTATTATGTCTTTCATGACATAATATTGACAATGATTTTAATAAACTTACTTGAAATAAAATTTCAAGCCAATCAGTTCTGAACAAAATGTCTTCTACTTTCTTACTTATATCAATGAGTCTAACATTCATTTATGTTCAGCTTCCACTGAAGGATGTGAAAATAGAAGTCATTCTCTGGAATCCAATTTCCATATTTCCTAATTGTGTATACAGTAATTAATTAATATGCTAAATAAGTATCCAATAGGATATGCACCGTGTTTTGTGCTAATAATGATAGTTAGATAAAAGCTGTTTCTTTCTCAAAACATTTGATCAGTAAGCTTTGTTACCTGGAATGAGGAGCTCTCTTGCATAACTCTTGAATTCCAACTGTGAGTGTGTGTGCTCAGTAGTGTTCAACTCTTGGTGAACCCATGGACTGTAGCTCGATAGGCTCCTCTGTCCATAGGATTTTTCAGGCAAGAATACTGGAGTAGGTTGTCATTTCCTACTCCAGAGGATCTTCCCAATTCCGGTGTTGAACCCATGTCTTCTGTGTCTCCTGCATTGGCCGGTGTATTCTTCTACCTCCAAGCCACCTGGGAAGCCCCCTATCTTCATTCAAATCAGTGTGACAACTCAACATTTTGGGTAGCCAAAGTAGGAGTGGTATAGTTTAAAACTGTATTTCTGCATCTTTAGCAAAATGCATGTGGGAAAGCAGCATTATTTATACATCCACTTGGATTTCTGATATTCTATGATAATTGTTATTCAAAATATTTTTATATGTCTCTTTATCTAGATTTAGACAGGGTTTAGAGAGTGGAATTTGGGGCTGGTTTGCATTGCAATGAAGGTGGTTTGAGAAGTTAAACATCCTCTACATTTTAATCAACTCTCTCTGGAGAGTATTAGAGTATGGATACAGATTTTTCAAATTGTCTGATTCATTTAACATCATAGCTATTTCAAAAAAGTCAAAATAAAATCATATATTAATGAAACAGAAAAATGTTGTCTTGCTAATGATCAGACCAACACATTCATCTGTTTAGTCATTATGTATTTTTGAATGTCTTTCTATGTGTGTTTCATGTTAGGTGCAGTTTTGTAAAGTAAATTTTAAAAAAAAATTCTAATTCTTGAGAAGTACATTTTAATGAGTCAGAAAATGCTTCTTAGTAAACTGGAGTGTTTTTATACTAAGAGTCAAGCCAAACACAATTATCATTCATTTAACATGTGTTTTTGAATGTTGTTTCCATGTGTTTATTTGGTAAGTTCACTTTTGTAAAATAGACATAGTATTGTGACATTTGTTCACCCCTTGCTGGATTGAGATACTGGGATTACAAAACATCTTTACTATATCATTTTCAGATTTCCTGTACAGACAATTAATGTCACCTCAACTATGACAATGCAGAGTCAATCAAGAGATAACAAAATATGTTTCCAGGAAAAAGCTCATTAAAATAGAATGATGATCAGTCTTCCTCTAGGCTATCTAAGTTCTTAAAACATAATCTGAAATTGGTATGACTAAAATTGCCTCTCAATTTTTTTAAAAATGCAATTAACTTTTTTTAGGGGAGGCATTTTATTAGAGTAGTTACAAAGACATTGTTATGTTGAACAAAATAATGTCCCTGATAATAACATTTACTATGTTGTTTCTTCATAGAGTTTAATTCCTGGATTTAATTTGTTTCTTTAAGAGCACTGAGTTCCTTTCTCTCTAGTCACAACGGAGAGCATTGTACTCTATGAGATTCCTTTTAATTTTTTTTTTTTTTTTTTTTCTGGTGTGATTTTCTGAACTACGTTCTGTTCTCAAGTACATCCCAAAATTAAAAACAGATAAAAAGCCCTCTTTCTCTCCTTGGTCCTTTCCTGCTAATATCCCATTTTCTTCTACTTCATGGCAAAATTTCACATAAATCAATATTTCTATGGTGTTTTCTATTCTCTCTTTATCCCTTTTGTCTTGGTCCACCTCTTTTTACTGTCTCTGAGTAGTACTCGGGTTCACCAACTTCCCTTTTCATTACTAAAATACACTCCAACTCTTACTTACACCCTACCACTCACATTTGGTTCAATTGCAGTATACCCAATTGCTCCTTTTCCATATCCTTTCTCTTTTTACTTTTTCAGACTTTTTTCTCAAATGTGAAGGTGCCCAGTTAGCTGTTTGCTCCTCTTATAGTTTCTATTTAAATTCTCTTTGCTTGCATAACTGGAAATGTTACTTTAGCCAATTAATCTCAATTGACATTTTCAGTTCTGATATATAGTCATATGATCCCTTGACATCTCCTTTGATTGTTAATGATCATCATAATTTATCAGAATGAAAATGAGTTCCTGATTCCTCATACCCTCAAAACTCCTCTGTTTTTTTGCTACATTTAAAAGCATGTAAGACCTAAGTCAGGTTAGACCTCTCCCAATGGTTTATCCATTCATGTCTTTCTGCATTAATGTTGCTATGCTATACCAGGCACCACTTAAATTTGAATTTCAAATTATTAAATCTCAGAATATTGAATTTCTCAGGTATTGCAAGGCATATGTATATGCACAAAAAATCATGTATCTGAAAATCAAATGTATCTGGGTCAGTGTCTGTATTTGCTGTATCTGCAAACCCAAACCATAGAAAGCACAGCCTTTATGATCTGCCCTGTTTTAGTCTCAAGTACACCTATGAGTGCACCTTGAAACACTCTTCTCCATACATAAGTCAATAACCTTTCTTCTGTTTAGATGTACCATTTGTTTCCAACTTTGGGTCACTGATCTTCTGCTGCTAAGTCACTTCAGTCGTGACCGACTCTGTGCTACCCCATCCCTGGGATTCTCCAGGCAAGAACACTGGAATGGGTTGCCATTTCCTTCTCCAATGCATAAAAGTGAAAAGTAAAAGTGAAGTTGCTCAGTCGTGTCCGACTCTTTGCGACCCCATGGATTGCAGTCTACCAGGCTCCTCCATCCATGGGATTTCCCAGGCAAGAGTACTGGAGTGAGGTGCCATTGCCTTCTCTGCTGACCCTCTGAAGATAATAGCAAAAGGCTAGAATCTTATCTTCAATTGGATCTTTCTAATGGAATTTCCCTGACTGGTTTTTCTAGTAGTCATGTATGTATGTGAGAGTTGGACTATAAAGAAAGTTGAGCACTGAAGAATTGATGCTTTTGAACTGTGGTGTTGGAGAAGACTCTTGAGAGTCCCTTGGACTGCAAGGAGATCCAACCAGTCCATCCTAAAAGAAATCAGTCCTGAATATTCATTGGAAGGACTGATGCTGAAGCTGAAACTCCAATAGTTTGGCCACCTGATGGGAAGAGCTGACTCATTTGAAAAGACTCTGATGCTGGGAAAGATTGAAGGCAGGAGGAGAAGGGGATGACAGAGGATGAGATGGTTGGATGGCTTCACCAACTCAGTGGACATGAGTTTGAATAAACTCCGGGAGTTGGTGATGGACAGGGAGGCCTGGTGTGCTGCAGTCCATGGGGTCATAGAGTCAAACATGACTGAGAAACTGAATTGAACTGAACTGATCATCTAGTCTGAAATAATCTCTCACCAATAGTCCTTAGATTTACCTTATTCCTTGCCTTGACTCATTCCTTAAATAGGCTTAACCTTATCAGAAATGATCTCATTCACCTAAAGAATTTGCTTTCAGATATCTGCCTATATTTTCTGCCGATGTTCAGTTCAGAGTGTAAGATTCAACACAAAATGGATCTTGTCTGTACTGTTCATTGCACCATCCATTGTGCTCATAACAATCCCTAACATACAATTGATCCTCAAGAGCTTTATGTACAAAAGAATCAACAAATTTTCAAATCAATATAATCAGGGACATCTAAAATTTTTGTTGCTTTTCTATTTTGAAATAATTTTAGTTATCAAAAGTAGAAAAAAAATACCCTTTACCCAGTTATACCTATGCTAATATCTTTAATAACCAAGTACAAAATTAGGAAATAAACCTGGCACAATATTCTTAAGTAATCTACACATTTTACTTGAATTTCACATTTTTACCATTAATGTCCTTTTTCTGCTCCAGGATCCAGTCCAAGTTCCTACATGGCTTTTGGTTGTCTTATCTCTTTAGTCTCCTCCAATTGGTGAGAGCTTTTCAGTCTTTCTTTTATAACACTGACAGATTCAAAGAGCCAAATGTTTTGTAGTTTATTCCTAAATTTGAGTTTGTCTGTTTTCTCATAACAAAGTTGAAGTTATATGTTTTAGCTAAGATACCAGAAGAGATTTGGTATTACATTGGGCCATAGGAGGAGTTTCATAATATCAGTAAAATTTTAAAAGTCTCTGGAATAGATTTTTGATCTCAAAGTAGTGATAGACTAAGTATTTCTATTTCTATATAATTATGGTTCACGGCTTTAAACTTCAGGGACTCTACCATGGCCTTTTTCATATGAAGTATAAATCAAAGTGAATAACATTGCTCCACAAAAATTAATAAAACA